TCATTACACATTTTAAAGGCAAACGATTGTGCTTGTATTTTTTTCTACACCCACATGGATGTAAGCTTATCTACGCACAGATTACAAAACGAAAAAGTATGCTATTGCCTTCAACTCAACGAATATATTTTATATCCATTCTAGGTAGTAAGAACAGTGAAAATCCACAAATCACCGTTCATATGTTGATCAATTGACTGCTATTATTTCTAAATTTAAAATAAGTGACAAGTCTGTCAAGTAATTGTCAGTATATTTTTTAGTTATTGAGATTAAACATACATTAAATTGGAATATTCTTGCGCAGAATCGATAAATAATAGCATTTCTGTTTTTATTTCGTCTATAATTTTAAATAATTTATTAATTTAAATAAAACAATAAGAAGTCAATTTAATTACGAATAATAAAGCAACAAAAATAAAATAATAAATGGTCCTGTCACCAGCGTTCTGGCCTTACACGAGTTCGATTCTCGGATGGGGAAAAATGAAATGAACTTTTTTATTTTTTTTTTTCATTTATTTTATTTTAAAAATCATTAAAAGACAAATTATTTAAAATTTAGTTATTTTGTCTTAATAACCTAAAATATTTTTTTTTATTTGTAAATTTTCGTAGAAAAAAATATAGTGTACAACTCGAGTGGATTGGTCACATCGCACTCAGACAAGTGAGCACTCCGCCTACGGCGTCGTGCCCAAATTTCGTCATCGTGCCATAGGACCATCATATCCACTCTTGATGCACAAACTACTATTCTTGCATTTTTACAATTTGCTTGTAAATATAGCAATCACGTTTAAGATGGTTTTTGCTGCCACAATGATAACATTTTTGTATTTATTTTTAAAAATCGGTTAATTTCTTTGAAAAAACTTTATCTTTCTTTTTCCATTTTTCATTTGCATTTGTAGTTTGAAGATATAGAGCTTTCATACTTGTATTGGCATTTTCTCGAGCTAGATATTCCTTATGTTTCAGTAGCATACCTTTTACAGATGCTAATGTGAGCCATTTATCCATCATAGTTTTAATTGCGGTTTTTACTGATGCACAACTGGAGGGCAATGAGTTTAGCATTTACCATACTTTTGTTGTCTTACTCACTTCTATAACACAAGAAGACAAATCACGCACCATTTCTTCTATTTCTATCTTGCGATTTTTCATTAATGTACCAGGTTTTAATTTGAAATTAAATAATCGATCCTGAACACATACTTGCGTGGATCTTTTTACATGCTTACAAACCATCAAACTTTTCGAGAATTTCTCGGGCTGTAGTATGACCTGGAGGTAATTCTGATAGTATTATGTCTTTTAGATATTCAATTAATATGCCTCTTGCAAGTCGTTTCCATTGTATCCATTCCTCGGTAAGTGGTGTTGGTAGGTCTTCATTAAGCACTTTACTAGCACCTTCTTGTTCAATTATTTCAGTCAGTATACATTTCCACATTATATGATTTTCACCATTAAACAGTTTAAAATTTCGCTTTATTACAGTTGACCCACCACTGGTCATTGTTTATATTTTGCACGATGTAAACTGTCTAAATTATTTATTCGCAATTGCGTGACTGGGCCCATAACCTGTTGGAAGTTATGGTAGGTCCTTATATTAAATACACAGTGAATATCCTTTCTAGATCATTTATTTAACTTATCCTTAAGGATATTCACTGTGTATTTAATATAAGAACCTATCATATATTTCAACACAAAAAAAAATTAAAGTACATTTACGTCGTTAGTACTAAGAAAAAATTCGCATCAAAGAAAGAATAAATACACATTAAATGCAAAATAAGGTCATGCTGTCTCATTTTTAACTAGACGGCGGTAAATTTTTTCAAGAAAATCCTTAAATATCATTATCAATTATTACTAGATTGATTTTTGGCATGTAGAGTAATTAGTTTATTGCTTAGTCATTCGTACGGTAAAAAGAAAACTTCGGCAGACGGTCGCATTTATAAGAAAGACGCTCCGAAAATAAGAAAAAAACATCTTTGCTAAATGGCTGCCTCACTTAGACTAGAATATTTTTTTATAAATCTGCCATTAAAAAGTTCACAAGATCAAAACAGACAACAATTTTTAATAAATCCTATATTACAGTCGCAAATAAAAATATATTTACAATTTTCTGCACATTAATTTTATTAATTAAATTCAATTAGAGGGAAAATAAATAACTTGGGACCAAAGTAGAAGAATCTAAATTCAATTGTTCAAATCGTTTATAAAACTTTTTGTAGTTTATCTTTCGTTTTTAATCCGTGTATAGTATAACCTTTCAAGACACTGATTTTTAATTAAAATCGAAACTTCAACCTCAATTCAGATTCATAGAAAACCTAAAGTTAGACAATGCGATTGCGTGATCTTTTAATCACACTTTAAATTATTACTGTGATTAGAATTATTTAAATAAATGAGATTATTTTTATTCCAATCAATAACAAATATGGTGCTTCTAAAATGGTCCATATAGACAAACCAAAAGCACGTTTTTATTATTGTCATTCTAAGGAGCGTAACGTGCATTTTTAGCCGCAATTATACGGACCACTGTTCTAGTAAACCGATGTACTGTGTCCTCATAGTTGAGTCTACGTTGAAACCGTACTGTAAGACCCGCCGGGTGAACCCTTAAAATATTACAAAATGTGTCAATATAAATTGACTTAAGTTTCCCAAACCATAAAATTAATTACCCCAAATGTACATAAGCTAAAAATAATTAAGTATCTAGGATGAATGAAAAATTACATTGGTTCAAAAACAGCCATAAACAGTATTATGAACTCAAATAATTAAAATTCTGGTACAACAAGCCACAACATAAAAGAAATCGATAATCAAAAGGTGTACAAAATTACCAAATATATACAAAACATACCTTTTTCATAAAGGGTTAAACTGGTAGTCTGCCAAGTGTAAAGAAAAACGAGATAGCCCATAGTAACCACTATTAAATTATCCACTTCAATATTACACCCTCAAATGCCAATGGATCTCGCTATATGAAACGACAAACCAACAACTTAAAATCTATTGAAATCACAAATTTTTATATTTATAAATTCCTTTAGCGAGTGTGGATTGGGTCCAAAAAACCATGGGAATTTAACTAAACATTGAAATTTCCCAAAAATATTATACTGAATAGGAAAAAATCTTTTTCGCAATCTAGAGACCTTGAAACGTGAAAATCTGAAATAATCTCGCAGGATGAATTTTCAGTATTGCAATACTTGAGGGAAGTATAAAAAACAAAAATAACAAAAACAAAAAAAAAGCCGAATAAAACATTTAATTTTTTCTACATCTATCTAATTCTATACGATTTTGTATTGTTTGTTATAACAACTGGTAATCAACAATTAAAAATTAAACTGTTAAGGTGGCAGAGAAATATTCTTATATAATATAGTTCTGCCATCAAGCTAGGCTATTTTGCTTTTTAAATTACAATGTCTGTAGTGTTGCCGTCAAACATAATATTGCAAACCTGCATTCAAATCTTAAACTTATTTCTAGACGTTATTTGTTTATACGCATTATTCAGGGGCGTGCGGTCCATGGAAGCGGGGGAAGCACCGCTTTCCTACACTATGAGATTTAAAAATAAATATTTTTCAGTTTACAATGCATAGAAATTAATATTAAATTAGGTACTATATTTTCTCTAAAACATTACGTAAACTTCGTAAATGTACTAACAATTCATTGGTGGAATGTGTAAACGCACGCACCATATATGAGAAAAGTAATTGTGTAAACGCACATACCATATACTTCAAGTCCGTCGGCGCAAGGGCGTCTTGAAAAAGCCGGCTCATCTTCCAATTGACTTCGCTGCGTATTATTGACTCTGCTTTGCCGCGACAATAGTCAGTCTGTTTAGACACGTGAAATACGGTTAGGAGGCGTAGCGATTTTTACGTCGCCTTACGCATATTTCAATTCGCACCGCGAATCGACGTGCGAGGAAAATCGTGAACTTCAGATAGATTTCAGTTGGTTTTTCATACTTGTTTTTCTTTTTGTAAAATGAAGGAACTGTGCACTGTGCCTGTGAACAATAATAATGTGGTAAATTTTGTCTGTATTGTGTGCTCTTTATTGAAAAAGGGATTTTCAAGTAGAAATTTTGAAGAGAAAACGGACATTATTAATTCTAGTAGACTAAAAGATCCTATAAATTTAGAGACAAAAGTAGAAAAGTCAGCAAATAAATTTACCAGGCATTTTCACGTAGGGTTCTATGAAAAGTATGAATGGTTAACCGGTTGCAAAACTTTAAAGAAATTGTTTTGCTGGTCTTGTTCACTTTTTAATATAGCCGAAAAAACACATTGAAACTCAGTAGGTATTACAGACTTGAATAATTTTCACAAAAGTGTAAAACGACATGTAAATAGCAAATCTCATATAAGTGCTACAATTAAAGAAAAAAACATTTGGGACCTATCGCATTGAACATAGTTTGAAAAATCAATTAAAAATAAGCAACAAAATTCACAATGAAAGGGTAAAAGAATGGGGACGTCTTATAAAGATTAATAGATATAACTTGTTTCCTAGGAGAGCATGAACTAAGTTTTAGGGGTCACAATGAAGCAAGTAGATCCGCCAATCGAGATTACATGGACCTTCTAAGTTTTTTAGCAAAATACGATGATACCCTAAAAAATCATTTTATTGATTCGACGACTTTTCGAGGTACCTCAAACAGAATTCAAAATGATTTAATTAAATGCACTGCCGACGTTGTGATTGACCATATTAGAAGTGAAATTAAAAACGCACCTTTCGTATCAATTGCGCTTGATGAAACCACAGATGGTAGCAAACTTAAGTCAATTATCCGTTGTTGAGCGATATGTATTGGATGGCATTCCTCAAGAGCGATTCATAGGATTTTTGGACGTCACTAGCGAACGAACTGCAAATGCATTGTTTAAAATTGCTTGTGACATTATTTCAAGTTTAGAACGTGTTCTAAGCTTGTTGCCCAGAGATACGATGGTGCTGCCGTAATGGCTGGTCATTTAGGAGGCCTTCAAGCTGAAGTGAAAGAGAAGTTTAAACATGCAATTTTCGTACAATGTATAGCACATAGACTTAATTTGGTTTTATCGCGAAGCATGGATAATATTAAAGATTGCAAAGTTTTTTTTTCGACGCTTAGTGGTTTGGCAACCTTCTTTTCAAAGTCATCGAAAAGAACTCGCGATTTGGACATTCACGTTAAAAAAAGGTTTACAAAAGTTGCTCCGACGCGATGGAGAGCTATATGTACGTTTAGTGCAAACAGTGTTTCAATACCGTGATTCTTTGATACACTTTTTTTAAGACGTTTGGGTTAATAAAGAAACATGGGATGCTGAAACTGTTACTGCTGCTAAAGGATATTTGCATTGGCTCAAACAAAACTTTGATTTCAATTTTTTGGTCAATATTTTTGCAGAGATTTTTGCTTTTACTTACATTTTATTCGACATTTTACAGACAAAGTCAAATGACATTGGCTTTTGAATTAAACAAATTGATGATTTTAAAAATAAAATGAATAAAAAACGAGATCAGATTAAACACTTTTGAAATAAGACTTAAAACATTGGCTTAGAACCTAAAAGAAAGAGAACTAAAATTGATAATGTTAGCGACAGAGAGACCTCCTATCGTCAATTATACGCCAACATTTTTGAAAATATTTTACAACAAATGAACTCTCAATTTCAAAACTTTAACGAATTAAAATTTATTGAATTGTGCAATTTTAATATTAGTAACTACGATTCATCAAAATTTCCATCGGAAGCTTTTATTTCACTAAAATTAAATTATGGAAATTTTTTCGATATTCCAGCATTAAAGTCCCAGTTAAGTGTTGTTTATGAAAAAACTGAAATTAGTGATAAAAAGACGCCCATCAATGTGTTAATTTTTCTTATAACAACTGGTCTAAATTAGTCCCTTTGTGAAGTCGTCAAATTGTGTGAATGTCAACTGCTGTGTCAACTTTGTGAAAAATGCTGGAAAAAATAAAAAACATTTTCGGTTAAATGTTTTTTTACGTTTAAATAAACCAAGGAAGCTTTTCAATGGTAAATTTTTTTATAGCGTCTAGTACTAAACTAGGTAATAAAGTAATAGTAACCCTTTAAAAATCTCAATCTCGAACAGCCGTAGTACTGAGGAAGCAAGAATTTGACAAAATCGTGAATGTGCTGCGAAAAATTGTCGCCTGCGGCTCTGTGCTTACTGGCCTGCTGTATTTTCATACAATCGCTTCTCCTTCCAAAATTGTCACCACACGGCACTGCGCATTATTATTTGTACCTTTCTATGTACTTTTTCATGGAAATCATTTTTCTTAAATTGGATTGAGTCGCCATCTAACGCCTTGATTAAACTTATTATATTTGTTTTATTTTCAACATACGAGCCCTATCCCATCTTATTTGTTCTAACATTCGTTTCACAGACTGCACGTTGCCGAGTATCAATTTTCAAGCAGTATACTGAAACAAATGTGTTTGCCGGATCGATATTAATCTGATCTTCTGCCGGATCATTCACTCGTTCCCTGTTTTTCCTTTTTTCTATTTTAAGTCAGGAACTAAACCAACATCGAGGTTTGCAAGCCAGTGTTGTAGGTATAAAACATTTTGGATTTATTAAGGGTGTCATTTGTTATCAGAACAAGGTGATCGAGTGTGTTAAGCACGAAATTTTATACTAGTTTTCTGTACCTATCCTATAGTGCTGGTTAAAAATTGGTGACTTTTTTTTAATAATTGTATTATGATAAAAAATATTAGATTTAAAATTAAGTTCAAAATTTGTTATATTATATACCTTCCATAAAAGTACAAATTGGGATACTAACGATAGTGAATCTATTGTTTTTATTTCAAAATTATTAAATTAAATACTGTTTAATCATGCGTTTAGCAAAATAATGCTGTTAAAAAATGACAGGAGTATTTTATTAATAATTCTAAATATAGTTTTTATTCTAAAGTATCAAAGAACGCTATTTTTTGGTCAGAAAACATAACTGAAAAGCAGACCTTTTCTACATACTTCAAATGAACTGCTGTAAAATACTTCGATTTCTAAACATTCTTCTTTGTTTTCACCTTACTTCTTCATACTGTCAAGCATTTTTAACATAATTAAAGAAAAACTAAATAAGCTATAATTAAATTGATTTGTCATTAGCACACTGATACGATAACAATTGTTCAATTGTTTTCAAGAATTTATCTACCCATACTTATAGATTGCAGCCATCTCAGTTATAAGAAAAATTGTAGATATTACAATTTCAGATTTAACTTTTTTTGATTTTGATATCTATTAGCACATTACAATAAAAAATAATGTATGTAACATGGACGAAAGTGTTTTATCGGACTTCTACGAGTTGCTTAAAATTCAACTTTCCGTCCTTATAACATAAACTACTATTTTAGGTATGTCTTTTTAACCGCTCTATCAGTAAGAATCTAGATGATTATTTCATCTCGTCCACTTCGATACAGGTGCAAAAAAAGTTAAAATCATACAGTTTTAATAGTTCAAAATCTCAAGCTCTGCCAAATTTGCAGGCCCATCACTTTTAATGGACGATTTTGCAACCGGATATATACGTTTCAGGCTAAAAAATAATGTATCCTACTCTTATGTTAAACTTGCCTTGAAAAACTGTGCTCAAATTTCCTATTTCCCTATGATTTAAAGACTTTTTAAGAATAAGATGAGAGGACATGGATTACGCCTTACGAGGTGAAATATTCCTTGTAAAGTTGGTTATTTAGGTTATAATAAAACTATGCTTATAATAAACCCTCTTATAGTAGAGGAGACCGTGGGAGGTCGATCTTCACCCATCTGATAACCCGATGATGCATATTTTTATGAAATATTATTGATTTATTAACACTTCTGTGGGAACTTTCCATTCGAAAAGTGTTCACGGTTAATTTTAATTATATAAATTTTATTCAATTTTTTTGATAACCGAACAAATTTAATTTTAACAGATAGTTTTTAACATGGAAAATATGCCTCGGTAGACTTGTTTACTTATTTTTGTTCATGGCTACCTAGCAAGCAGGTATTAACAGGTAAGTAAATATAGGTTACTACACCTATATGTCAACTAATAAAAATTGATATCAGAAGAAAGATAATTTAATTACTAAAATAACCGTATGGGCTTGCCTGCAAAAAAACTTTTCATATGATACTAATGCCTTGCTTTAAAGTTTTAATTGCTGCGATTTTAGAACTTTAAAGCATGGCATTAGCATTCCATAAACAGTTTTTGGCAGGCAAGCCTATACGATTATTTTGGTGATTAAATTATCTCTCTTCTGATATCAATTTTATTGGTTGACATATCGGTGTAGTTACCTATATTGACTTATTTGTTCATACCTGCTTGCTAGTTAGCCATAAACAAAAATAAGTAAACAAGCCTACCGAGGCATATTCTCCAGGTTAAAATTAAATTTGTTCGGTTATCAAAAAAGTAACGGTTATAAAAAATAGTTTAAAATTTATTAAATTAAAGATAGCCATGAACACTTTTCGAATAGCAAGTTCCCATAGGCGTGTTTATAAATCAATAAAATTTTATAAAAAATATGTCTCATCTGATTATCAGATGGATAAGGGTCGACCTCCCACGGTCTCTTAGATATTACAAGTAATTTTCAACCCCAGAAGCCTAGCTTGTGCTGGGTAGAGATGATAATTATTATTTGCCGTGGTTTGATCAATATTGGTAATTGTTGGTAATGAATACTTATGGTAAATATATTTAGTTAATGTTAAATAATATTAAATAATGATAATTAATTAATGATAATGAATGGTAAATAATGCTAATTAATAATAATAAATAAAAGTTAATGGTATTTAATGCTTTTTAATGATCATTAATGGTAATTAATGGTATTTAATAGTATTTACTGCATTTAATGGAAATTAATGGTAATTTATGACAAATAATGGTTATTAATGGCAATTAATATTAATTAATGGTAATTAATATTAATTAATGGTAATTGATGGTAATTAATGGTAGTTAATGGTAGTTAATGGTAGTTAATGGTAATTAGTGGTAATTAGTGGTAATTAATGGTAATTAATGGTAATTAATGGTAATTAATGGTAATTAATGGTAATTAATGGTAATTAATGGTAATTAATGGTAGTTATTGGTTATTAATGGTTATTAATGGTTATTCATGATAATTAATGATAAATAATGGCAATTATTGGTAAATATTGGTAATTAATGGTAGTTAATAGTAATAAATGGTATTTAATGGTATTTAATGGTATTTAATGGTAATTAATGGTAATTATTGGTAAATATTGGTAATTATTGGTAATTATTGGTAATTAATGGCAATTATTGGTAATTAATGGTAATCAATGGTAATTATCGGTAATTGATAGTAATTAATGGTACTTAATGGTAATTAATGGTAATTAATGGTAATTAATGGCAATTAATGGTAATTAATGGTAATTAATGATAATTAATGGTAACTAATGGTAATTAATGGTAATTAATGGTAATTAATGGTAATTAATGGTAAATAATGGGAATTGAAGGTAATTAATGGTAATTAATGGTAATTAATGGTAATTAATGGTAATTAATGGTAATTAATGGTAATTAATGGTAATTAATGGTAATTAATGGTAATTAATGGCAATTAATGGTAATTAATGGTAATTAATGGCAATTAATGGTAATTAATGGTAATTAATGGTAATTAATAGTAATTAATAGTAATTAATGGTAATTAATGGTAATTAATGGTAATTAATGGTAATTAATGGTAATTAATGGTAATTAATGGTAATTAATGGTAATTAATGGTAATTAATGGTAATTATTGGTAAATAATAGTAATTAATGGTTATTAATGATAATTAACAATAATTAACATTAATTAATGACAATCAATGGTAATTAATGGTAATTAATGGTAATTAATGGTAATTAATGGTAATTAATGGTAATTAATGGTAATTAATGGTAATTAATGGTAATTAATGGTAATTAATGGTAACTAATGGTAATTAATGGTAATTAACGGTAATTAACGGTAATTAATGTTAATTAATGGTAATTATTGGTAATTAATGGTAATTAATGTTAATGGTAAATATTGGTAATTAATGGTAATTAATGGTAACTAATGGTAACTAATGGTAACTAATGATAATTAATGGTAAATAATGATAAATATAAGTAATTATTATTT